GTGCACTGCCTCCTAATTTCCAAATGTTCAATCATTAGTAATCCACTAATCAAGATAATTGGGTGGGGTGGAAGGGGGCGGTTTAGCAAAGCAAACACCGCATTAATAATGATAATGACAAATGAGAGTCACCAGAGAGAGAGAGAGAGGGAATGATGGAGCACTGCCGAAAACGGAAATACCTTTCACATTTTCGCACTGCGAAGGGCAACTGCAAGCGAATCAGCAAAAGGGACATCTGAGCTCCCGAAAAAGAAAGAAACAGCAAGAGAGAGAGAGGGAGAGAGAGAGGCAGGCAGCCAAGGCAACCCAACAATTGAGGACATTGCACTGCAATAACCTTAAAGAAGCAGAACAGCAGCCTGAATCCGAACGGGAGATTGGGAGAGTGGCGGAGTGGTGGAGCGGTGGAGCGGTGGAGTGGTGGAGCGGTGGAGTGTGTGCCCAAGAGAGTGTCTCTGTGTGTGCGTGCGTGTGCCTCTCTTGACTTGGCGCTCAGCAAAACTTACGTATTTGTTGTTCTTGTTTTGCATAAAGTCGCGGAGAGGGGGGAGGGGCGTGCAACAATGAGAAGCTATTTGTGTGCCTAGGAACAGTTGGCGCTGCCGCCGCAGCTGCTGGCAGAGGAAGTGACCTCAGGAAGGAAATGCATTGCATTTAATTGGTCAAAAATGTGTGCACAATATGGTTAGTGGGTGGTGGGTGTTGGTGGGGGCACAGCTATGACTCATTGGAGGCACAATTTTAATCTTTCGATTGGGGCTTGGAGCCCCTTTTTCCTTTGAGGGACAACAGTCAAAGGCTTCCTTTGGCAGCTCTGTCCTCGAACGAGTCCAATGAACCCACCAAGTCCAAGCAGGGCACAACCGAAATTGGCGCAAAAAATTCCCTGGCGCTGGAGAAGACACCTGTGCCCTGTCAGACGACAGCCACCCCCGAGCCAGAGCCCGTGCCCGAGCCCGAGCCCGAGCCCGGGCCACCACCCCCTGTGCATTTCACTTTTCCTCGACAGGGGTGGGGGAGGTGGAGAGGGGCTTTGCTTTGACCCACTTTCCGGGCACTGAACTCTGTTGGCCATCAAGCAGGCCCG